ACTCCGATGATGCCACGACCCCTGTCGGGGTCGTTTCGTGCGACCTGGAAAAGGCCATTCCAGCCCCCCCAGTCGTCGTTTGTAGTAGTGGGGCGATGGCAGTCAACCAGATCTCCTTCGCTATAGTAATGCTGACCCGCGATCGTGGCACTGGCCCGTAGTGCGCGGTTGGTCGCGGCTACTGCAATGGCTTGAGCGAGAGCCTCAATGCGCACCCGGCGGAGAGTCTGTCCTCGAGAGTGGTCGGGTGTTCTGTCTGGGTCGGGTAGCATCGCTGGTCGCCGTCCAAGTAGCGCGCTGCATGGAGAAACTCCGCTGTAAAAAAGGCAAACGCGTTGGCGGCGAAAAAGGCTTCGCGCAGTAGACGCGCGAACACTAGGGGCACGTCTAACGCGTTGAGTTCAGCTTCGACGGCGCGAAGCAGGTGTCGTAGCACGCCGCTCCTGGCTTCAATTGTTATAGCGCGCAATCCACGCGCGCGCATCCTTAGCTCAATACCTTCTGCCTCAAGAACGGCTTTTGCGGCGCCCTTGTTCAGCGCACCCTCTTTGTCGGAGTAGAGGACTTTAGCGGGTCCGAATTGCATCCAGCACTGATGATGCGCATCTTAGATGCCGGTCGCAGTTTTATCTTGCATCTCGATTCCAGCGCAATACCGAACGCAGCGATCAAGTATGCGATATATCGCATCCGACTTCTTCGTTGAACATGCCAGGCAGCGCAGTAAACAGCATAGCGGCGGGCCCTGGCTTCTCCCAAGCCCTGCGCTCCCGACATTCGCCACGGACGCCTTATCACCTTCAGCCCGACGTTCCAGACGGCCTCGGTTAAGAAGAGTTTCATCTTAGGCTCTCTGGCGCGGAGCCACCATAAGTGCAGTTTTCGCAACTCGCGCGCTACCGCGCTTGGATCAAGGCTGCGTCGGTCCTGTCGACTAATCTGCATATCGAACCGCGACTAGTCTGGATGTCTTGGGCGAGCAGCAGGGCCAACCGCGGGGTGGTGAAGGTGGGCCCCCTCCTTGCTGTCGACTTCGTCTGGCTACTATTTGCGGTAGCAGTCTGCGATCGCCCGAGCTGCCGGTTCCACTCGAGGCAGCTTGACCCGCAGCCGTTTCAGCAGCATGTCTGCCTACTGCGGCGCGTTGCTGCTGGCACCTGCTGTTGGCCCAGCTCTGGAGCCAAGCCTCGGAGCTCGTAGCCGCGCGAATTGTTGGGCGGCTGGTGCCTCGGATGCTGCTGCCGCCGCAGGGTGGTGGTGCTGCCGGTTCGGCAGGGGCCGGGGGCCCCTGTCCGCGGTTGTCAGGCAGCTTCCACGGTTTGGCAAGTTTTACATGTGCCAGGAGCAAATAAGTGACCAGGTTTAGCCTCTCCGTAGTTCTTCTTGCAGCTTGGACACTCCCAATGGTAATCCTTCTTATCGGACCACCTATAGTATTTAGGGCTCCTATCGTGCGAAGGGGAATGCTCGTTGACGTTGTCCGCACATGCTGGACACCCCCATCCTCCCGAGGGTGGCCTCGTGATCGACCCGTCGGGGTGCCAACGGATAGTTGGGTTATCCAAGTCGAACCCTCGTATATTTGCGACGGGAACGGAAGATGAGTGAGGGCGATCATGAAAACGATCGCGATTCACTAGGGGCATGTCACGTGCAAGTTGAAAAGTTTTTTCTACGAAGAGGGGCTGCATCTTCGGAGTATACTGGGCTTCCCTGGCCAGTTCCCTCTTACAGACCGAGGCGCGCTGATGATGGCCCGCGCACCGTTTCCTCTCGACGGGTGTCAGCAGGAGACGGCGGCTGGCCAGTATCACAATAGGTTTGCGTACTAATACCACATGGGAATCTCGAAGACCCGCACTACATAGGCCCATGTTACTGTTGCGAATGCCCTCGCGCTTGGCCAACCTGGTCCATGTTGGTATGTCGCCCACCCAAGTACCCACCGGTTGCTCTCGTAAGTAAAACCGTCGGCGGTCATTTTGACGCACGGCAATTCTTCCACAAAGTTTGATGCGTGGAAGGTCTTCCTTGCGGTGTTCATGCCATGCGCCGCAGTTGCCTTTAGAATTGAAGTAGGACGGTAGTCCCATTGTTCTGCAGTTAGGTTGTAGTAAAACAGCGCCGACGACGCATACATCCAAATAGTGCATAGCTGCGTCCTGTTCATCGAGGTTCTCACCTGGCGATAAAACCTCGGCTGAAAGCTAATTGCGATATGTCCCCATTACCTCCACATAATTCCAGCACGTCTACCTTGTTATGTCGTCCGTAACACAAGGTTGGGCGCATTGAAAACACATCAGCATGCGCATCCGCGGGTAACCCCGCTGGTCGTGTGAAGGTTTCCACATATTCGTCAGTGTCGGTGTCTAGGGGAACTTCGGCGCACTAGGTACCACACCCGAGGCCCTTCAGGTCCTCACCGCAGTCGTCGCTGCCGTCTTCGACTACTTAGGGTATACTGCGTGATTGAATGCCGGCTTCTTTGTCAGCTGTTTGTTTTCTTTTTGCTTGATCCGGGCACCCTTTGGTAGTGCTGTCGGTTGTTCAGTGTCGGGTGAAGTAACTGTCGGAAATTCGAGAATAAGGGGTCCCGCGCGGCCACGCTCAATCGAGGGGGGGCAAATGATCGTCATCGACGGTCGAAACCCGCCTTGGGCGTGGTCGTTGTCCCTCGCTTCCGAGCAGGACTGGCGCGGGAGGCTCCGAGCACAAGCGAGCACGAATGTTCGTCACACCGTTTGGTAAAGGTGCCTTGTAATTATACCCGATACGTTGATTTTGAACCTGAATGTCTCGTATGATAATATTGTCATCAAGATTCATCGTCACCCGGTGTACCACATGGTCCCATTGAGGGCCATTCTTAGGAGACTGGACGTAAGTCCGAGCTCCTTTGTCCACTCGCGCGTGGACGCTGAGGTGTACAGCACTTGTATGATTTCTCTTTGTTGTGTGGTGAAATCATGATAGCAAGTGATTTGTTTCGCCATTCCGCCCTCTGGGCACCCTGGCCATACCAATCTGACTCATGCTCGGCGCGTGGCGCGGGTTTCCTTGCAGTTTGGCACGTGCATCTCCACAGGTTGGTCGGAATGCGTGTGTAGGTGGTCGCTACCTGCAGGTATGAACCGCTCGGTAAACGACTTGATCGGTCGAACTTCAGACCGAAGTGGCAACATCACATACGCATGACCTGCCACGCATTGGAAAAAATCAAGGCGGAGGTATTCTCTAAATTCTGGGACCCTGGGGGCCCCCGCCGGGCCCCGGGGCCGTCAAAAAACGGCTCGGGATGAAAAACCGGCCCTGGGGAATGGGTCGAGACTTCCAGGGACCCCGCATTGAAAAAAACACGACATCGGATCTCTGGGCACAGGCGAAGCGGGTACCGCCAGGCCAAAGACAAAGAGCATCCTTCAAGGACACAGGACCCTCCGCCGGCCAAACTGAGGAGCATTCGAGGGTACCCTCCCCCCAGGATGCACAAAGAACGCTCAACAAACACGAAGAACATTAGGGTATACTCCCCTCCATCGTGTACCCTGGTCCGACTGTACGAACAGCTCGGGGATCTCCGAGGCCGGTGGGCCAGGGGTGCTTAGACGAGGGAGTGCACAAACGAATCGGGTGCGAACAGCTTCGGGGGCCTGCTGACCCGGGCCGATCCAAATCTGGGTCGGTCTGGCCCGCGCCATGAAATCCACCCCCCCTAGTCATCACCCCCCTCTTTGCCGCCCCCGACTCTGGAGAGGCGCGGCGGCTCGGGGAGATCTCCGAGGGCCGGCGACGAAAGGGGTGCCGCGAGTGGCCGTGCCCAGAGGTGCTCCCGAGGGTCCCTCGAGCGCTCCGGGAGCCCCGGCAGCGCGCCAGTCCGTGTCTCACGATGCCCAGGCCCGGAGACCCAGCGCATTGAAAAAATCAGGACGGAGGTGCCCGGACCCAGCGCGCGCCAGCCGTTGCTTGCTGCTCTGCGGCAGCAACGGCCTGCGCGCGCTCGGGGGATTGTTCCCCCCCCCCAGGGATCCATCGCATTGAAAAAATCAAGACGGAAGGTTTTCGAAGTTTTTGGCCTCTAGGAGCCCTCGCCGGGCCCCGGGACCGTCAGAAAAACGGCTCGGGATGAAAAACCGGTCCTGGGGAAAGGGTCGAGACTGCCGGGGACCCCGCATTGAAAAAAACACGACGTCGGATCTATTGGGGGGGCACACAGAAACCGCCACGCGTGCCCAGATTATCCCCCCATATGTTTGCACCTCTCCTGGATATCTGTCTCTTCCCCTCCGTGTCCCATGTCTGCCACCGCTGTCCTGAGAGACATCGTCTGTGTGTGTGTGTGTGTCAATTCGCGATGCTGTTGCCCGGCTTGCCCGAGCGCGCATGCGGACTGCCTCTGCCGCGATGCAACGTAAGGAGAGTGTGCGTGTGTGCTTGTGTGTTTGTGTTTGTGCTTGTGTTTATGTGTGTTTGTGTATGTTTGCGTTTGTGTGTTGTTGTTTATGTTTGTGTTTGTGTGTGTGTTTGTGTTTGTGTGTGTGTGTTTGTGTTATTGTGTGTACTTGTGTGTGTTGTGATTATGTGTGCGCTGGTGGTTGTGTTTGTGTTTGTGTGTTGTGTTCGTGTCCGTGCTTGTGTTTGTGATTGTGTGTGTTTGTGTGCCTGTGTTTATGTCTGTGCTTGTGTCTGCGCGTGCGTGCGTGCGTTTGTGTGTGTTGTGTGTTGTACGTGTGTATGTGTGTGCGTGTGTGCGTGTGTGCGTGTGTGCGTGCGTGTGTATGTTGTTTGTGTGTTGCTTGTGTGTGATGTGTGTTGTGTGTTGTGTTGTGCGTTTTGTGTATGTGTTGTGTGGTGCGTGTGTTGTGTGTGTGTTGTGTTGTGAGTTGAGAGTTGTGTTGTGTGTATGCTGTGCTGTGCTGGTGTGTGTGTGTGTGCTCGTGCCTGTGTGCTTGTTTGCGCCTACCCCCCCCCTGGGTGCTTGTATCCCGAAGCTGCCCGACCTTTGCACCACCATCTGCTCGCCACTCGCCACCGCGAACATGAGCGGGGTGCGCCCGCTCTTGTCGCGGGCCTCCGCCTCCGCCCTGGCGCCGAGCAGCGCGGAGACGATCTCGACGCGGGCCAGGCCGGCGCCCGACGGGTCCGCAGGACGGCTCTCGGCGTGCACCGCCCCCGCGCGGCACGCGTGGTGCAGAGCGCTCTTCGACGCGTCGTCGACGGAGTTGACCTCGGCCTCCGTCGCCTTCGTCAGCAGGTAGTGGACGACGTCCCTGTTGCCGTAGTGGCACGCGTACATCAGCGCGGTCTTCCCCAGGGCGTCGCGGCCGTTCAGGATCGGCCGTCTCGGGAGCTTGGACATCACGCCGGAGCCACCTTCTGACTACATACCAGACCACCCCAACTCAACCCGAAGACCCGAATTTCGGGCTGGGGGGGGGTACGGGCTTCATGTGTGTGTTTTTTCTCCCATGTCCCCCCACCCCACCCCAACTGGACATGGAGTGCAAGCTGAGGCCTTCGGGTTGGGTTGGGGGCGGTTTGGCGGGTGGCGACCTTCGAGGAGCCGCTTCACCTCACCGAGGTCGTCGGACCGGGCCGCCTCCAGCAGCAGCGCGATGCTGGCGCTGCTCCCCCAGAACACGCTGCGCCGCGACTCCGCCGCCCTGCCGCCGACGGGCAGGGCCTTGCCGAGGAGCGGCTCGCCGTGGACGGTGCAGGTGCTGATCCACCCGAGGACCTGCCCGAGGGCGGAGACCTTCACGCGGCGGTCGTTGCGCGTGCCTCGCTCCTCGATCCTGACGAGCGTGCGGGCCTCCACCTCGCGCAGAATCTCGCTCGCGAGGTCCTCCCTGGCTCGCACGGTGGCCACCGACCTGACCCTGTGGACGCTGCCCCTCTCGACCTCCACGGGAAGCTGGAAGTCCCGCTTTATGACCAGGGGGTGGCCTTGCTTGGTCGCAGTGCGGACAGGGCGCCGCAAAACCTCGCAGACAACGCTTTGGACCGTGGACGTCCGTCGGGGAGCCAGTCGCGACATCGGCGGCCCTCCAGAACGAGGAGGAGGAGTCAGGAGGTGGAAGAGCCAGAGCCTGTTCTCTTTGCAATCTTTTCCTAGACGATCAATTTGGCAGGGACCAACCGTCCCCGCCAGCATTCCCATGGACCTACCACGACATGTCATGAAAACAAGACATGCCATCATTAAACCAACAACAACAACAACGACGACGACGACGATAACGATAACAACAACAACAACAACAACAACAACAACAACAACAACAACAACAACAACAACAACAACAACAACAACAACAACAACAACAACAACAACAACCACAACAACAACAACAGCAGCAGCAGCAGCAACAACAACAACAACAACAACCACAACAACAACAACAGCAGCAGCAACAACAACGACAACAACAACAACAACACCACCACCACCACCACCACCAACAACAACAACCACAGCAACAGGAACAGCAACAGCACCAGCAACAGCAACAGCAACAACAAACACTCAACAACCAAAAAAATAACAACAGCAACCACAATAACGTTCGTGGAACAGAAACCAACGTGTGAAACCAAGACGGCTCCAGCAATAAATATGATCATAACATTTCGTGTAGACCACAAAATGGTCTTACAACATGATTTGGTAGACCTCGAGGCAAGCCAGGACGCTTCGCCACTGCTTGAAACAAAACACAGCGTGAACAACACAGGAATTTGCAGAGATCCGGTCGGGTGTCCTTGGATCGGCGCTGGAAACCCCCCTCCCCTGGCGCAGAGGGGCCCAAAACGCCGATCCGAAAAATGCGTGCGGACCTCCAACAGATCGCACGTGTATTCCGCCTCGTCCTCGGGGGGGCGAGGACTAGACAAGCGCGTTCCATTACTCGCTAAATAACTACTCGCGAATGACCTGGACCCGCCGCGAGGGATGCACGATCCATTGCATCGTGGCGGGCATGTGCTCCTCGGACGTTTGCGAGTAGGCACTCCGCGTGCAGCGGAACGCGCTCGGTGAAAGAATGGGACCGCCGATGGCTCAACTGGCCTCCCTCCGAGCTCCTCGGGCGGCGAGAATGAAGGGGCCCTGGGACACACAAATAAATAGACACAGGTAACAGGATTCCCAATGTTTTCCAATATTTTCTTGGTTTTTGTCTTCCCCCCCACTTCCAATATTTTCCCATATTTCTAAGGAATCGACGATTAACTGTGTCTGTGTGTGTTTCTCCCTCCTGTGAGAACTGCGCATGTGCACCGCCCCTGGCCGGGGCCATCCTGGGCCCCAGAGCAGCGCGTGCGCCTCCCCTGGCTCGGAGGCGCGCAAACATGGATTAGCGATCCATGGATTTTGAGCGCGGTCGCCAAAATCCATGCATCGGGGGAGGTGCCCTCCCCAAAATGCGGCCGGTGCCGCCTTGCTCGGCGGCGGAAATCCGCGATTTCCCATGGAAACGGGGCCCGTCGCTAATCCAAGCCCCGTTGATCCATGTTTGCGATCGCATGACTGGTCGCGGACACCGATCCTGGGCCCAGCGTCGCCCTGGCCAGGAGCGGCGCAGGCGTACAGCCCTCAGAGCTGGCGCCCCCCGAGAGAGTTCGGAAAGTTGGCGGCCGCGCGCTGTTCCGGCTCCCTGGCTGGCCCATCCCACCGCGCTCTCCTCGCCGTACACCTCCGCAGCGGGCAGGAAGCACAAACGTACAAACCGGATGCTAAGCACAAGAGAGAGAGAGAGTGTGTGCGCCACGGGGGACAACTCATGTCGTGGCGATCCGTTCTTGGAGCGGCCGAACTGCCTGAAACTATCCCGCGAATTCCAGTCGATGTGCTTCGGCCTGGGCACTGGACACGGGCCTCCCCCCCCTTGTCGGAAGCCCCCCCTCCCCCCTTTTCGCGTTTCAGCAGCTATCCCCCTCCATTTGGTACCCGTTGCCGGGTGCCCCGTCCCCCCTCCTCCCTTCCTTCTGCAACCCCTGCAAGATCCCGCTCCCCTCCTTTCCACCTCCCCCGTTGGAACCTCCCCCTCCCCAACTGTTTTTCGCTCCGCGGAAGGTTGCCCCCCCTTCCCCTTGAGCCTCCCCAGCGGCACGCCTCCCCCCCTCCCCCCTTCCTCCCGCAGCCTATAGAAGCCCCCCCCCCTCAGTAGACCTCCCCTGCCAAAAGCCCCCCCCATCCCAGACATCCGACGTTTCCATTTTTTCAAGACACGGGCCCCCCGACCTCCCGACCGCTTCCACAGGTCCGGTTTTTCATCCCAAGCCGTTTCTTGACTGCCCCGAGGCCTGGCGAGGACCCCAGGAGGCCAAAAACGACGAAAAACCTCCGTCTCGATTTTCTCGAGACGCCCGATGTCTGGGCTCCCTATGCTGGAAATTCCCCCCCACCCCTCTCCCCTTCCCCGTTCGACCCCTGCAAGCAACCCCCCCCACCTTGCACCTCCCCCACCGACGACGACGACGACGAAGACGACGACGCTGGCTGACGCCAACGACGACGACGATCACGACGGCGATCACGACGACGACGACGAAGATGACGACGCAGCGGGCCGATGACGGCGACGACAACGACGAAGACGACGACGACGACGACGACGACGAAGACAAGGACGACGACCGACGACGGCGGCGGAGACGACGACGAAGATGTCGCTGGCCGACGACGACGATATGACGACGACGCGACTGGCAGGCGACGACGACCACGACGACGACGACAACGACAACAGGACGCGGGACGACGACGACAGACGACGACGATCGCGAAGACGACGACGACGTCGGCAGACGGCAACGACGACGACAACGACCAAAAGCCGACGACGACGATGACGAGGACGACGACGACTCTGACCGACGACGACGACGACGACGCTGACAGACGCCAACAACCAACGACGGCGGCGCGGGCCGACCACGACGACGATGCTGACGACGCAAACCACCGACGACGACGAGGACGACGACGACGACGATCACGACGCCAACAAACAACGACGACGTCGGCCGACGACGACGACGGCGACGACGACGACGAAGACGAAGACGACGACGGCCGACACCCGACAACGACCACTGAGACGACGACGACGACGACGACGACGACGACGACGACGACGACGGTCGATGACGACGGTCGATGACGACGGCGAGTCCAGCCGACGAGGACGCTCACGACGACGACGACACGACGCGGGACGACGACGAGCACGGAGACGACGACGACGACGAAGCGGGCCGATGACGACGAAGATCACGACGAAGACGACGACGACAATCACGACAACGACGACGCCGGCCGACGACGACGACGACGACGACGCAGCGGGCCGATGACGACGACGACAACGACGAAGACGACGACGACGACGATGACGACGACGAAGACAAGGATGACGACGACGACGACGACGACGATGACCGACGACGACGACCACGACGACGACGATGACCACGACGACGACGACGCTGACGAAAATGACTCTGGCTGTCGACGACGGCGGCGACGACGACCACGGAGACGACCCCAGCCGACGACGACGACGACGACGACGAGGACGAAGACGACGCCGACAACGACGACGACGCTGACACACGCCAACAGCCAACGACGACGACGCGGGGCGACCACGACGACGATGCCGACGACGCAAGCCACCGACGACCACGGAGACGACGACGACCTCGACACCAACAAACAACGACGACATCGGCCGACGACAACGACGACGACGACAAAGCCGGCCGACGACGACGACGGCGACGACGACGACAAAGAGGACGACGGCCGACGACGACAACGACCACTGAGACGACGACGGCGACGACGACGACGACGACGACGACGGTCGATGATGACGGTTGATGACGACGACGAGACCGGCCGACGAGGACGCTCACGACGACGGCGACGACGACGACGACGACGTGGGACGACGACGACCACGGAGACGACGACGATGACGACGAAGCGGGCCGATGACGACGACGACGACGACGAAGACAAGGACGACAACGACGACGCTGGCCGACGAAGACGACGACGATGACGACGACGACGACAGCGGCCGACACCCGACGACGCCGACGACGACGACGACGACGACGACGAAGACGACTACGGAAACGACGTCGGTCGACGATGACGACGAGGACGACGAGGACGACGACGAAGCGGGCCGATGACGACAACGACGACGACGACGACAACGTCGACCGACGACGACGACGATCACGACGAAAACGACGACGACGACGCCTGTCGACGACGACGACGAAGGCGACGCCAATGACGACTAAGCCGACGACGACGGCGACGACGACCACGGAGACGACGCCAGTCGACGAACACGACAACAACGACCACGCTGGCCGATGACGACGACGACGTCGACGACGACGACGACGACGACGAGGACGACGACGACGACGCTACAAGCCGACGAGGACATCAACGAAGCGACGAGGAGGACAACCACCGAGACGGACGACGAGGAGGACGACGACGACAACGAAGCGAGCCGATGACGACAACGACGACGATAACGACGAAGACGACGACGACGACGTCGACCGACGATGACGACGATCACGACGAAGACGACGACGACGACGACGCCTGTCGACGACGACGACGACGACGACGACGAAGACGACGCCGACGACGACCAAGCCGACGACGGCGGCGACGACGACTACGGAGACGACGCCAGTCGACGACGACGACGGCGACGACGACAACGACGACCACACGGGCCGACGACGACGACGACGACGACGAAGACGATGACGACGACGACGACGCCGACGACGACGACATCGACGACGACGACGACATCGACGACGAGGACAACCAACGAAGGCGACGCCAAACGACGACGACGACGACGACGACGACGACGATGACGACGACGACGACGACGACGACGGCGGCGGCGGCGGCGGCGGCGGCGGCGGCGGCGGCGACGGAGACGACACCAGCCGACGACGAGCTGCCCCCCCTCCCTATGACGTCCCGAGCCCGAAGCCCACCCCCGTGCCGACCACTTCGACCATCCATTTCTGGGCTCTACTACGATCCAAATCTGCACAAACCAAAAGGTCATTCAGAATCCGTCGACATGTTTTGCGAAATCGCTCGAATGTCTTCGACCGTCAAGTCTACTTGTCGCGTGGCACCGCATAGGGCGGGAACATAAAGGGTGCTCTACTCCTCACATGGCAATCTTGGGACGCGGCAACGCAATGGGGCGGGGAGAGTTCCATTATCCGCTTTTCGTTACAGAGCTACACCTACTGGACCGAAAACAATACTATCCAACTATTTCCCCCGCGTGGCACAAGTGCGGGCGGAAAATAGACTATTCAAATTCAGTCGCACGTGGCAGCGCAGGGGGGCGGAAACACGTAGGCATTCTGCTCTACCCATCAAATGTCTGCGCAGGATCCAGGCCAAAAAAAGGTTGGGCCCTAGATTTCCAGTCGTCACGTGGCAACTTACGGGGGCGCAAACTATGTCGATGCTGCTCTACACGCCCCAGCGACTGGAGGGCGAGCACATTCTGTCAGAGAATACTCGCCACGTGGCAACGCAAGGATACGGAACAAATGCAAGTGTTAAGTCAGGCCTGCCCCCCTACATGCGGATTTGGAACTTCTTGTGTTGGGGGGTCTCCGCGGGGCCGAAACGTTTGAAATACCACACTACGTGCCTGTGGAGGAGGACGCCCTCTGCGCCTCCTCCTTAGCCTGAACTCGTAGGCTCAAGGCTTTCATCCGATCAGTCTGGATGAGACCTGACATCGCAGGTTGGCGCAGAGTCACCTCCTCAGGTGGCGGGAGCGCGGCAGCGTAGCACACATTGGTGACTCCTCCCGAGAAGTCACAATCACCTCCGCTTGCATATCGCGGGAGTGAGGCAAAACACCGTCGTAAATCTTGCGCAAACTGGTCACACCTCCAGACAGCTTGCGTTGCTGGCACTCTCGTCCCAGCAAGCGGCATCTTCGTGACGTGTATGCTCCGCATACCGTACAGAATAATACAGATCCTTCATCAATGCCCTGGATCACAGTGCAGTGGGCCAGGGAATGACCGAGAGACAAGTCGAGCGTGTTCTTCCAAGTCTAGGGCATACCTTTACATCCGAGCATCGGTCCCGAGCCACTATCATTCGAGAGGGTTAAACATCTGAGGCAACGCGCTCGTCCATCGTCCAAGTCCTGCCACGCGTGCCAACCTCCCGATTTAAAAAAACTTGACCCTCGGACCAGAGCTCGAAACACGATCGATTTTTTCCTGCACTAAAAAATACACCCCACGATGGACAATAAAAACTCAAAAATCGTCCCCATACTATCTTTAAACTATTTTTGAATTTTCCTCCTGTATAGGGACACGCCCGACTTAAGGCAAGTGTACGTTCGTCAGGTGGCAGCGCAAGGAGACGAAACCAACTCATCCGAACCTCTGCCCGTCAAGCGGCAGCCGCCCGCCTGGCCGCCCGTAAGCCCGCGCGCCCCCTCGCCCGCCTGCCCGCCCACCCGCGCGCCCGTCCGCTCGTTCGCCCGTCCGCCCGCCCACCCGCTCGCGCGCCCGAGATCCTCAATCAACCGTGGGGATCCGACGGAAACGGTACGACATGTTTCGAATGCCTTCGCTCGTGCACTGCACTCCTCGCGTGGCGCCGCTAGAAGTGGCGAAACTACCATCCTGCAGCACTCGTCACGCGGCAAGGCCTGGGGGACGGCATGCAGTTCTATACGATTCGCCACGTCCCAAAGCACGGGGGCAGACAGAACACAAACGTATCATGGTCGCCACGTGGCAGCGCAGGTGGGCCGAAAGCACACGGCATTCACGTATACCCGTTACATGACGGTGGGGAGGGAAGGGGGTGGGAAACAACAAATCATCTTTTCTCGCTCGCCGGCGACGACAATGGTGACGACGACGACGACGACCAGCTCCCCCCCCCCTCCCTATGGACCTCCCACGCCCGACGCCCACCCCCCTGCCCCCCACTCGGCCCCTCCATCCCAGGGCTTGACAGCAATCAAAATCCCCACGGATCCCACGGAATTTCCAGGGATCCACGGAAATATGTCAAAAACCCTTCGGATGTCCTCGATCGTCGACTGTACTCGTCGCGTGGCACCGCAGAAGCCGGAAACAAAAAAAGCTACTCTGCTCACCACATGGCAACCCTGGGAGGGCGAACAACCAATGGTAAGTTCTACTCGCCATGTGGCAACGCAGAGGGGGGGGCGCAAAATATACCATTCGACGCTACTCGTAAAGTGGCCGCGCAGAGAGTGGAAATAATTAGGATGTGTTCCTCTGGTTTACGATGGAGTCAACGCGCGACGACGATAACGACGACGACGACGACGACGACGACGACGACGAGGACGACTACGACTACGACGACGACGGCGAGGACGAGGGCGACAACGACGACGATAAGCACGATGACGAAGACGACGACGACGACGACGGCGACGACGAAGACGCTGACGACGACTGCGACGACGAATACGACGGCGACGGCTACGACGACGACGCCGCCACCGCCGCCGCCGCCGACGACGATGACGACGGAGAAGAAAACGAGAAGGACGACGACGACGAGACTCCGCGCATATCTACATAAAAGCTGGGGAGGGGGGGGGGGCCCTGCAAAGGTCAGCCTGGGCTCAGCCTCACCCCAGCCCCGAAAAGGAGGGAGGGGGGGTAGCTTCGGAAGCACCCCCCCTCGACTGGCAAGCCCAAAATTCCGCAAATGGAGGGGGAGGTGCGGGTCGCTTCTGAAGCCGCCCCCCATCGAAAAGTAAACCCTGGCTCAACCTGAAAGCCTAAAACGGGGGGGAGGGAACTTCCAGAGCCCCCCCCCCCTTACAGCAGGGGAGGGAGGGGGTAGCTTCCGAAGCGACCACCCCCCGCAAAGGGCAGTGCCTGGCTTATCCCGGCGTCGAAAAGGGAAGCTTCCCAGTTGCCCAAAAAGGAGGGGGGGGCTTTGGAAGCCCCCCCTTGTGGAAGGAGGGGGGGATAGCTTGAAGCTGGGGTCATCCTTTTGTTCTTCGTGTCTCCCGTAGCACACTTTCTTAAGTATCCGTGCAAGCCAAGTCCTGTAGCAAACGCACGCCAGGAACGAGTCGAACAGGTCAACCCTGGTCAGTAAACGCTAAGACGAATTGGTCAACGCCAGTTATCGGAGTCAGGGTGGACTATCCAAAATGATGGCTCGGGCGTTGGTTGTTGAGCCAGTGTGCAAAAACATGTTCACAGCATTAAACTATGATTCAGAAATTCCGAACCACAATTTCGCAATCTCAGATGATTTCTAGCGGGTAGGGATGCTGAGCGGACCGTCTGCAAAACCCGCAAACCAGTCCAAATTACGACATGGTGGTCAGGCCTGCTTGGATAGCTCGTAGGTGCGCAAGCAGACGGCGACACTCACCATCGCACTAACCGCCGAATCGGTCATTCCGAAGCTGTCCTTCGCCGTGCACCTCCGTCTCTGGAGATCTCCAAGAGGTTTCCGACGGCCTCCAGAGGTCTTCAGAGATCCCCGAGACCTCCAATGCGTTGAAAAACAAGCCTCTGGACCAGACCCCGAGGCCGTGAAAAAACAGCTCGTGGCGCGGTCGTGAGGACAGGCTTGAGACTTCTGCGGGGCCCGTGTCTGAAGGGGCCTAGGGACACACAAATGAATAAACAAAAATCCCAGGATTCCCCATATTTGCCCACATCTTCTGGGTGTTCGCCTTACCCCCACTTCCCATATTTCCCAGATCCTCCTGGGAATCGGCGGTTGCTGGTGTCTGTGTTTGTTTCCCCTCCTGAGCGCTGGAGAACAATCAGCGCATCGGATCAAAAGCGGACCTCCGCAGAGGTCCCCTGCTGCATCCAGGGAGGCCGCTGGAAGCCTCTGGAGGTCCAGAAGACCCCCCAGAAAAAGCAACAGTTAAGTCGGGCCTGTCCCTCTACAGGAGGAACATTCAATTTTGAATCTGCGGGTCGAAGTAATTTTGAATATGTTTTGGGTATGTTTTTGCTATTTTTCATTTTTCGCTCAAAATCATCCTCTAGGGGGACACGGCCGATTTAAAGCAACAGCCTCGAAGCTCGATCCCCTCGAGAGCCGAGGGTCGAGGTGCCCTCCCGAGCGCGTGGCGGCCTAGCTTTCTGTCTGAACGGGGCCCAAGGACGCTCAAAGAAAGAGACGAGAAGCCCAGCATTGCCGAAACTTCTCCTTCTTTTATGGGTACTTGTCTCCCCCCTAACCTCCCACATGTCGTGCATTTCTCCAGGAATCGACGCCTGTCTGTGTCGGTGTCTCTTCTCCCCGTGGTTGTTACCATGGGTTCCTGGGCCTCGACCCCTCCCCCGGGGAAACGTGTGTCCCGCCTGGCTCTCTGATGACCCAGGGGCCCCGGTACTGCACCCCATGAGACGAAGCCAGGACGAGAATCAATTGGGGGGGATACATCGAGAATCTCTGAGATCCAGCGGGCTCTGGAGGATATCTCGGGCGCCGCGGCCTCCTCAGAGCGTTCCGGAACGCTCCGCGCGCGTTCTGGAGCGCTCTGGAACGGATCTATCCTCGTCCTAGCCCCTCTGCCTGCACCCGAGGCCCTGCACCCCAGAAGCCGAAAGCCTCCCGTCCTGAATGTCCAGAACGTTGGAGATCTTCGGGAGCGGCCAAGAGGGGGGTGTCCAAAAGGGGGGGGTGCAAATCATGACCGGCGGCATGTGCGCGGCCCAGCGGGGGGGCCAGGAACGTCATGAAATAAGAAGAGGCGCCATGAAATCTGGGGAAATATCATGGCCCACGCCATGATATCCACCCCCCCCTAGTCATCACCCCCCTCTTTTCCGCCCCCGAGGTCTAGAACCCTGGCTTCGAAATCTACCCTTGGGCCCGTCCTGGTGGGCTCTCTGGCCAGAGCTTCGAGGCGGCGCTGGCCGTGGCGACGGGGAGGCCCAGTCAGAAGGCCCAAAAGCGCCCACGAAACCTCGACCCTCGATCCTCGAGCCTCGAACCTAGAATGGATCCTCGATCCACCATCCTCGAGCCTCGAGCCTCGAGCCTAGAATGGATCCTGGATCCCTAGCCTCGAGCCTCGGTCCTCGATCCTCGATTCGAGGCCTCCAAAATGGAGCCCGGGTCCGAGCTGATGGGGTCGGAGGATTCGGCCGCATCGTCGATGCATCGCCGGTGAATGGGCTGTACATCGGCGGTGCATCGGCGACGTCGGCGTGGAGAAGATCGGGCCCCACATCGAGCTGCATCGCCGATGTATCGGCGATGCGGCGCGGTTCCCCGACCGCAGCTGCAGTCAAACAGTGGCCAGAAGAACGCGGGTCAAGAACAGGATCCCCCTCGCAGAAGGCCCAACGCCCGCGGAATAAACAATAACATAAATATTACATGTCGAAATAAACCATAACAAAAAAAATGGCGCAGACAATGGCATAAAAATAACATGTCGGTGGTCCGCGCGGATATCCTGTATCGGCGCTCACCCCCCATCCCCGGCGCGTAGTGCGCGCAAGGGGCTGCGCTGGAGGCGCCGCCAGGGGGGTCCAGCGCAGATCCGAGGAACCCGCGCGGACCTCCGAAAGTTTACGCGTTCATGCCATCGCTTGCTCCTTTGGAGGGTACCCCTCCAAAGCTGGGGCTGTTCTTGACCCTCGTATGGCGCGTTTCTTGATTTTCGGCGATGATGGGCATTATAGGCGGGGGGGAGAAGCCAGGGGGGGGATAATGCAACGCCTCCCCCACGCCGTGCGCACGGCGGCAGTGCCCAGAGCGCACTGGAGAGGGAGGGGCGTTACGTTATGGGGGGGGGAGGGGGGGCAAGGGGTTATAATGCCCATTCCCCAGACATCCGAGGTCTCGATTTTTTCGAGACGTGGGCCCCCGACCTCCCGACCGCTTCCCAGGGACTGGTTTTTCATCCCGAGTCGTTTTTTGACTGTCCCGAGGCCCGGCGAGGGCCCCGAGAGGCCGAAAACGGCGAAAAACCTCTGTCGTTATTTTTTCGATGCGCTGGATCTCTGGGTCTGCCCCAAGCAATGAAACACGCTCGTACCAGCTGCACCCGGGCCACACTTGGAAGGCCTGGAGCGGTCCCCGCGCCGCGCACCTGCACCTTTACGCGGCGGCCCAGCCCGACGGCCAGCAGCGTCAGCAGCGTGCCGGGCGCCAGCTCTCTGATGACCCTTGACTCCGCCACTGCGTGTGACCGCGGTTGGTGCGTGCGTGTGTGTATGTATTTGTGTACGTCTGTCTGTCTGTCTGTCTGTCTGTCTGTCTGTCTGTCTGTCGGTCTGTCTGTCTGTATATGTGTGTATGTCTGTCTATGCGTGCGTATGCATGTATGTATGTATGTATGTGTGTGCGCGTGCGTGTGTGCGGATGTGGGTGTGGGTGTGGATGTGGGTGTGTGTGTGTGTGCGTGCGTGCGTGCGTGCGTTCGTGCGTGCGTGCGTGCGTGCGCGCGTGTGCGCGCGTGTGTGCGTGGGTGTGTGTGTGTGTGTGCGTGTGCGTGTGCGTGTGCGTGTGCGTGTGCGTATGCGTGTGCGTGTGCGCGCGTGTGTGTGTGTGTGTCTGTGGTGTGTGTGTCCGTGTGTGTGTGTGTCTATGTGTGCCTATGTGTGTGTGTTTCTGCGTCTGTGCGGGTGTGTGCGGGCGGGTGTGTGCGGGCGGGTGTGTGCAAGTGTGTGCGGGTGTGTGCGGGTGCGTGCGGGTGCGTGTGTGCGTATATGCCTGTGTGCCATGTCTGCCGTGTGTGCGTGTGTGCGTGTGCGAGTGTATGCGTGTGTGCGTGTGTGTGCGTGTGTGCGTGTGTGAGTGTGTGCGTGTGTGCGTGTGTGCATGTGTGCATGTGTGCGTGTGTGCATACGTGCGTGTGTGCGTGTGTGCGTGTGCGTGTGTGCGTGTATGCGTGAATGCGTGAATGCGTGTGCGCGCGTGCGCGCGTGTGCGCGTGTGCGTGTGCGCGCGTGTGCGCGTGTGCGCGTGCGCGTGTGTGCGCATGCGCGCGCATGTGCGCGCATGTGCGCGTGTGCGCGTGTGCGCGTGTGCGCATGTGCGTGAGTGCGTGTTTGCGTGTGCGCGTGTGTGTGACGGCGTGACTGCGCGACTGCGTGACTGCGTGACTCTGTGACTGTGTGACTGGTTGACTATATCACTGTGTGACTCTGTGAATCTGTGACTGTGTGACTGTGTGACTATGTGACTGCGTGACTTTGTAACTGTGTGACAGTGTGTCTCTGTGACTCTGTGACTGCGTGACTGTGTGACTCTGTGACTTTGTGACTGTGTAACTGTGTGACTCTGTTACTGTGTGGCTGTCTGACTGTGCGTGACCGCGCGTGTGCGTAACTGTGCTTGACTGTGCGTGACTGTGTGTGAGTGTGCACGCCGGTGCGCGAATATGCGTGCCTGTGCGTGCGTGTGCGTGCGTGCATCCCTGTGCGTGCGTGTGCTTGTGTGCGTGTGTGCGTGCGTGCGTGTGTGCGTGTGTGCATGTGTGCGTGTGTGCGTGTGTGCGTGTGTGCGTGTGTGCGTGTGTGCGTGTGCGTGTGTGCGTGTGTGCCTGTGTGTGTGCGTGTGTGTGCGTGCACGTGCGTGTGTGTGCGTGTGTGTGCGTGTGTGTGCGTGTGCGTGTGTGCGTGTGTGTGTGTGTGTGCGTGTGTGTGCGTGTGTATGGTGTGAGTGTGTGCGTGTGCGTGTGTTCGTGTGTGCGTGTGTGTTCGTGTGTGCGTGTGTGTTCGTGTGTGCGTGTGTTCGTGTGTGCGTGTGCGTGTGTGTGAGTGTGTGAGGGTGTGCGTGTGTGCGTGTGTGCGAGGGTGCGTGGGTGCATGGGTACGTGTGAGCGTGTGTGCGCGTGTGCGTGTGCGAGTGGTTGTGCGTGTGCGTGTTCGTGTGTGTCTGAGCGTCTGCGTGTGCGTGTGTGCGTGTGTGTGCGCGCGCGTGCGCGTCCATGCGCGTACGCGCGTATGCGCGTGCGTGCGTGTGTGCGCGTGCGCGTGCACGTGCGCGTGCGCGTACGCGTGCGCGTACGCGTGCGCGTACGCGTGCGCGCTCGCTTGTGTGTGTGTGTGCGTGTGTGCGTGTGCGCCTGTAGGCCAGTGCGTGTGCGTGTGCGTGTGCGTGTGCGTGTGCGTGTGCGTTTGTGCGTGTGTGTGCGTGTGTGCGTGCAAACGTGTGTGCGTGAGCGTGTGCCGTGTGCCGTGTACCGTGTGCCGTGCGCGTGTGCGTGTGCGTGTGTGCGTGTGTGCGTGTGTGCGTGTGCGCGTGTGCGCGTGTGCGCGTGTGCGCGTGTGCGTGTGCGTGTGTGTGTGTGCGTGTGCGTGTGTGTGTGCGTGTGTGCGTGTGTGTGCGTGTGTGCGTGTGCGTGTGTGCGTGTGTGCGTGTGTGCGTGTGTGCGTGTGCGTGTGTGCGTGTGTGCGTGTGTGCGTGTGTGCGTGTGTGCGTGTGTGCGTGTGTGCGTGTGTGCGTGTGTGCGTGTGTGCGTGTGTGCGTGTGTGCGTGTGTGCGTGTGTGCGTGTGTGCGTGTGTGCGTGTGTGCGTGTGTGCGTGTGTGCGTGTGTGCGTGTGTGCGTGTGTGCGTGTGCGCGTGTGCGCGTGTGTGCGTTGGTGCGTGTGCGTGTGTGCGTGTACGTGTGCGTGTGTGCGTGTGTGTGTGTGTGCGTGTGTGCGTGGGTGCATGGGTGCGTGTGAGCGCGTGTGCGTGTGTGCATGTGTGCGTGTGTGCGTGTGCGTGCGCGTGCGTGCGTGCGTGCGTGTGTGTGTGTGTGGGTGTGTGCGTGCGCTGTGTCTGTGTGTCTGTGTGTCTGTGGTGCTGTGTGTGTGTGTGTCTATGTGTCTGTGTGTTGTGTGGTGTGTGTGTTGTGTGTTGTGTGTGTTGTGTGTGCTATGTGTGTGCTATGTGTGTTGTGTGTGTTGTGCGTGTTGTGTGTTGTGT